ATGCACATTGCTTCAATAAATCTCTTCATCATTCAGTATAATTACACATAACATGGTGGAGGCAGTTAGAGTGCTTGCAGATAAATGCTGGAATTTTAGATCTGGGATGCATAACATAAACAGTAGTACCTGCTCTTAGGACTTCCTAATGTCTGCTCTTTATGGTGTCTCCCTTACTGATCAACTCCCAGTGTATGTTTCCAGACCTTGGGATCAGAGTTAAGGTAGTGATGTAGGAACAGTATATACTTTAACTTTTTTATGTCCTTGTTTTCTGATGTTTACATTTAGTTATCACTCTCCATCTTCAGGAATGTCTTGCTGTGCAACCCAAGAACTTCATTAACACAGTATTTAATGTTATAAGGGAAGTCTACAAAGGTAGCTCACTTAGACCTTGCCTACTTAGATACAATAATAATTGTTGTTTTTTAAAGTTTAACACAATTGTCCTAATAGTAATAATTTGGAGAATGCTAATGTACATGAGGCAATTGTGGCCACTGGGACTTTAAACACTGTGGTGTTTATGTCAGCTCTAAGTATGGTTAGACAACAAGGAAGGTGATGAAAATGTCAGTACATGCAAAAGCTCTGCTTTTACTGAGATTCACATTGGTACTGATCTGAGAGAGCAACATGGGGAAACTTCTGCTGAGAAACTCAAGTCTAGGTGCTGCTCAGCCATAGGGATAGGAAAGTGACTGTGCCCTTCGGCAGCAAACCTTCAACCATGTAATTTGTTGATTGGCTTTAGAAGGTCTTTGTGCCCACTCTTCAGATAGAATAGTTATTGCAATCCAGGGTTTTGTTTGGAACATGGCCTTCAAAGCTTCATTAAGTAGGTGGCTTATCAGAGGCAGTAGTGCAGGGGTGTGTATGCACAGGAGAGGCTCCCGTAAAGCAGCCTCTGTCTGCAGCAGCCCAAATTTGCTGCAGACAGAGGCTGGTCCACGGCAGCAGCTCCTATTTGACCTCCCCGTGGACAGGGGCTGCTGCTGTGGACCAGCCTCGGTCTGCAGGGAGCTCAGACCCCTGTGGATGGGCTGCTGCCAGAGGCAGCTGGTCTGCATGGGGAGCTGTTTTTTAAATTGGTTCCCCGGCAGACTGACTGCCATGCTGTTGCCTCCAAGATGTTATGTGATTATGTGACTATTCAGTTTCATGATATCTAATATCCCTACTACTGACTTCACTAGTATTTTTAATGTAGCCTGCTGTAAAACTAGGCAAATATCTAGATGAGTTGACACATCTGCTGTAAGACCTTTATGTATCCACAGTGGAATGTGTGCTCCTAGTTGAGAACTGCTGATGGAGAGCAGTGGTTCCCAACCCTATTTTATACTGGGGACCAGCAAACCTGTTCACAAACTTTTGATGTACTTGTAATGTCTTATTTTCAAATTCACTATGCAAATAAAATGTTGCCAGTCCACCAAAAGCCCCAGCCCTAACCCAGCTCCAGCTCCCAGAACCCCTCAGTGTCAGCCACTGATCCCAGAGTCCCTGCATCCAACCCCGCCAGTGCCAGCCCCCCCATCCCAAATGCATCAGTGCCAGTCCCCCTCCCCTTTGAGCCCCACACCACCAGACCCCATCTCCCAGTGCCACTCTGCTGTTTCCAGAGCCCCACTGTACCCAACCCCCTCCCCCATGCCAGTCCCCAATATTAGCCCTGGCCTCAGAGCCCCCCCATTACTAGCTCTGCCCTCTGACTCTCCCAGTATTAGCTTTGCTCCCCCCACCCTGAGTGCCAGCCCCCTCTGCCTGTTAGAGCCCCATACCTCCTGAGTCCCCCTGCACTAGTCCCAGCCCTGCAGCTCCCATAGCCTGCCCTGTCCACCTTACCCTGTCCTGTCCACCTCACCTAGTTCTGCTCTGCCTCCCAGCTGTATGCTGCTGCCCAGGTCGTGGCTGCTCTAAGGCTGCCGTGCTAGGCTGTACACTGCCCTCCTGCTGTGCAGCAAAGCCTCCTCTGTGTCCAGGAAGCAACCCTGCCTGGCGCTGGTTGGCTGAGATGAGCGGCAGGTCACGCCTGTCCCACCAGGTGGGAGCAATGTACCCTGGCCCTCAGAGCCACTGCGGCCTGGCAGCCAGAGGTGGACCAGCGTTTGGGAACCACTGCTGTAGAGCATTCATTTACTACTGAATCAATTAGCAGAGCCACTTTTTGAACACTGTCCAGTTTTGCTAATAGGCTTTGTTATTGTCATTGACCCAGGCTCTCATTATGCAAAGAGGACATGGCTAGTCAGTGTATCTATTTTAGGTGCACAAAAATTCCTTTGCACTTCAGGATACACTGTACACACAGTTCGTTGCCCCCAACAAAGAAGGAAGCATGGCAGCAACTTTGAGATTTCTTCAGTAGCTTCTCTTTCCTCTTCTTTTTCTGTGGTGTTCTACCTCCAAAATGGGCAGTTCTTCAAAGGTATCTTCAAGTTGAGAAGTTCCTGTGGAGCTAGTGTAAATACAGAGTGAGTCATTGTTAGCTGCATATAGGGTGAGAATAAACTACACTTAGTCCCTTTTTTTATGCAATTCTCATAGCAATTTGTATAAATGGTGCAGATGTATGATTCGTTTAATTCTTATGATCCCTGCCCTCAGGTCTAATATGAAGTGGACAGACTGATGCCTGTCTTGTGATTGAGGGGATTGTCCCGTCCTGGACTTTCATATTGTGCTTAAAAGAAGCACCTGGGATCTTTTTCAGGGGAATAAGGCAGCAAGCCACATTTATTGAACATACATAGATCAATCACTACTTTATCATATGCATATGATACATTACACACACACACACACACACACACTCTCTCTCCCCCTTTTCTTCTCCCTCCCCCCTTCTTGTTGTTACCAGTAGTTGCTCCCCCCAACTACACTGGCCAGGTGAGTTAGATGGGGGAGGGGTGGAGCCAGGCTTCTGCTGATCTGGATTGATGCTCCAATGTTGACAAGACGAAAACCCAGGGTCCCTCAAGATGCCTCATATTTATCCCTCTCATGCAGCCAGTTAGTCATCACCTTGCCTTTTTTAATGCTGCTTCAAAGAGAGTTCTTTCAAGGGCAGGCACTTGCTGCTTGACTCCCAAGGCCTTCTGTATGTCCAGTCTTCTTTTCAATGAGCTCACTTCACAGGTATTGTCTTGGATCTGACTCCCAGCACCTCTCTACCCTTACAACTGCTGCTGGAGGTGCTCACCTTTCATTCTCCTTTCACAACTCATTCATTTCAACAGGACAATCAGTGAAAGGGGAAGATCTATTCTTCTCCTAGCAAAAGACATTTTTCTGTGCCTTAACTATTCCTAAGACCTATCACAGCATTTCCCAAACTATGGGCCGCGGCCCGGTACCGGGCTGCGGGGGAAAAAATACTGGGCCTCAGCGTGGCTGCCAGGGTGTTCCGGGCTCCTGGACTGTCCGTGCAGCACTGGGTTCCCCAAGCCCTCAGCTGGGCTGGGCGGATGCAGCCGTATGTTTCAGGCTCCCGGCAGAGGCATAATGAGGGTTACCAGGTGAACTCTTATTGCTGGCTGTGGAGGAGGGGTTGGATATGGGCCACAGGGAAGCAGGGTTGGGGCAGTGGAGGTGCCTGTTGGAGATAGGGAGGGGAACCGGCTGGCCAGGGGAGATCACGGGGGTGGGAACCGGCTGGCGGGGGCAGTGAAGCTGGCTGTGGGGGAGATCCTGGGGCAGGGCTGGCCGT